TATGAGGGGAAACAAATTTATTTCTTTTCTAGTTCAAAATGCACAAAGCACAACAACATTTTCATTCCTTCTGGCTTAGCCATATGGTTGATTATACTGCTCAAATAATAATCTCTAAACCTCACTAGAGTTGATGGGAACTGCAGTCCAGCATAGGTGAATGCCATTAGCTTGAGAAATGTTATTTTAAAATATCTGCAATGTCAGATCTGTCATGCTAAAAACTGAACTTATCCCACACTATGAGAAATAATGTACAGAAGAGAAATATTTTTTTAGAACTTACGTCATAAAGAGTAAATTAAGCAATTTTGAATATCACTGCCAAATACCACACTTGGTGCAGAATCTATAGCCAGGGAAGAGCTGGGAATAGATCTACACCTGTTTCATGATATATTGACTGGGTGGACTTTGGAAAACTTTTTCAATGCTTCTTCTCAAAGCGACAGAACATCAGGCGCCTTTACAGATGGAGAGCAAACAATGGATAAGAGGCACAATGCATGGTCTAACAATGCTTGACTTCTTGTTTGGTTCAGTGCTTAGGCTGACCAAAACCCTTAAATCTAAATGACTAGAACAATTTAGTAATAACATTCATGTTGATAGTCCTATGGAGAAGAGAAAATCATCCATCCCCCATAACATGGCATCATAGATATTAAAAAGTGGCCAGAATTTTACCTAGCATCATGACCCATAGGCCTAATATTTAATGAATGTATTTTCTGCCCTATCTTTGATCACACCAATTTTGGAGAAAGTTGGGATATATGTTCAGATAAAGGATTTTCCACAGAACAATTTTCTGCCACCAAAATTAGTACGTTGCAGACTAGACTATTATCAGTTGCAATAGTAGAGACTCCTTAGTGTTATAGGACTCAGATTATTAGGTTTAGATTTTTTAATTGTCCTTTTTGATTTAGAACACTTCCAAATTGATTGCATAATCACTGAAGCATACTTACTTGCAATTGACCCCAACACTTGAGCCCAAAAGCCTTCCCGCCCTTCTCAGATCTTTAATATCAATCAGATATTAAGGTCAAATCTCATTTATCTTTCCAAATTAGCACATACTAGTTCCATTCACATGATCTTTTAAAGCTCTCCTAATATTTGCATTTGTCTTTTTCATAGTGGATTTAGATGTATTATGGTAAAATATTTCTATTGTTGGAAACTATTTGAAATGTTGAAAGTGTAATAAATCTTATCAAGAGTCCTTGGTTTTTGTTTTTAATGGACCACATAGAGCTTTAATTGTGAGACATAACCCTCATTTTAAGACACCTGTTCCTGAGATTATTCTACTGAGGGTAACACATTTTCCACTGTAATTTATTTTCTGTCATTAGAAAATAAATATCCAGACAAAAGTTTTGATAATACTTTATATGTACAAACTATTTAAAGATATCTGAAACATGAAGTTCTTAAGAATGCTGTAGATCTTTCAATTTTTTTTTTATAGGCTTTCCTCAGCATCTGTAGAGCAGAGGTTCTCAATTCCCAGGCTGCAGCCCACTACTGGGCCGTGAACTGTTCAAAACCGGGCTGCATTCCCACTTGGTGTGAGCAGTGGGCAAGTGTGCCTGTGTGCCCTCTGTGCACGCAAATGGAGGCCGTGCACAAAAGGAGGCCATGTGCTTGCAGAATGATCCCCTCTCTCCCCGCCCCCAGTCTACAAAGCTGGAAAGGTTGAGGAACTTTGCTCTAGAGCCATCAAAAGTTAACCACATACTTTATTGCTTTCTTCAAATATATGGGCTTGCAAAGAGGATGCACACACACATGTATTGATTCATTCAGATCTTATGGACAGACCTTCCACACAGAAGTGATTAAGTGTATCTGGAATTCTCTTGTTATCTGGTGAGCCTCAAATAAGCTGATTCTGTAAAATAGAATATTCCTTTAAATCCGCGGAGTCTCTATACATAGGATTACTGACAATTGTGGACAGGCTTAAAAACAACATGTGCATAGTTTAATATTGATCACTTCCTACTGAAAGTGAACATTTAAATTTATATAGGATATGTCGAACATTTTGACTCTGTGGATGTTTTCAGTGTCCTGTCAGCAGTAGAACACACACTTTTCATGCAAATGATTTAAAACAAAAAATCCTTGATAGATTTAGGTAGAGCTATGAAAAGCTCCTTTTTGAAACCCTGGAAATTAGAAGTTTCCTTTAATCCTAGATAATAGTTAAGAGAGAGCAGAAAGAGCACGCTTTATGGAATTCTTTCCACCTCTTAATCATAGCTCTGTTCTTGATGAAATAACTGGGAAGGAAGAAGGAAAGAGAGTTAGAAAGGAATCAGCCATACTCCAAGTCACTAGCCACCTGTCTCTGCCATGGAGGATTTCTTCACAGCAACCGAGCCAGATCCAGACAATTGTTGAATTGCAATTTCTTTTGATAGCTTTATTCTCCCTCTCAATCCAGCATTAAATTTAGTCAAGTTTTGTTCAGTTTTTCAGGGAATTATCTATTTGGACAGATAGATCTTGACGGACAGCATCCTAAACTTCCTTAACAATTTCTTTCCATCGTTTTCTATTGAGTCGGAAAGAATAAAATCACATTTACTATGAAGCTGTCGATACAAAGACAGCCAGTTGGTCTAGTGTTTAAAGTACCATGCTAGAAACTGGGAATCCTGCATTAGGCACCAAGTCAGCTGTGTGACTTTGGGCAGGTCACCTTCTCTCAGCCCTAGGAAAAAGGACTTCTGAGCCACTTCCAAAAAGACCTCAGAGCCTCGTCCAGGTAGCCTCCAAGAGTCAACACTGACTCAAAGGCAAAAAAAAAAAGCAAAGACACACAAGTTAACTTGAGGCCGGTTCTACCTACCATTCACTCAATACAAGTAGTCCTTGACTTACAACAGTTCATTAGGTGACCATTGAAAGTTAACGGTACTGAATGGTTTTTCACAGTTATGACCTTGGCAGCATCCCCGTGATCATGTGACCAAAATTCAGATGCTTAGCAACTAGCTCATGTTTATGATCCTTGCTGTGTCCTAAGATCATGTGATCCCCTTTTGCGACCTTCTCACAAACAAAGTCATTGGGAAAACTAGATTCACTTAACAACCAGTTTACTAATTTATCAACTGCAGTGATTCACTTAACTGTTACAAGAAAGGTTGTAAAATGGGGCAGAACTCAACAAATGTCTCGCATAACAACATAAATTTTGTGGTCGTTAGTCAAGGACTACCTATATATCATATAGCCGGTCTTTTCAAGAAGATATAATTCCAATTCAATGTTTAGAATTAACACCATTCTATGCTATTTTTGAAGGGTAGGAGCCTCACTTAACTCACCAAAAAGACTTCATTTGCTTGCCTTTTTGTTACATGATACAGACTGGCTGCATTAAAATTTTCATTTAGTTGATTTTTAAAAATTTTAAAATATGGCAGTATTTTATGAAGTATGCTAATGCTAAACTGTTTGCTTCTTGAGATTTATGCATGTTAGCAAAACTCCTTCTACAGTAAATCAACCCATATTTATGTTTCCATTTGAGCATGATTACTAGGCAGATCTTCAAAATTCTCCTAAATGTTATTTTCCAGCTATGCAACTGTTGTAGGAGCCGAATTGCTTCATTTAAATACCTTTGGTTTGAAAAATGTAGGGCATAAACAGAAGACATACTATATTTGGCTAAACACGATATATTGTAAATCTCTAACTTCCACAACTATCCATGCTACTTTCTTATTCTGCCAAGCTGAAATAGTCTTGTTTAAAATGCATGGAGATTACAGATCATCACACAAAGGGCTTAATCTATAGATAAATATTCATAGTTTATTAAGCTTCAGGGAACGCATGAAGCTGTTTAAGGCATATATGGAAGAATAATGTCACAACAGAATCTGCATCTGGGGAAAACAGGGTTATTGCAGGTTAGGAAATTAGCTTGACTTGAGTGTCTTTGATGTGCAACTAATAGAATGGGAGTTCCATGCTGCTGCTTATTTAGCAATGGAAAGACTGACTTTAGGCTGAGAGAAGAGGCATGAGCAAGAAGATATCCAAACATGTATTGGAGACTGCTTCACCTTGAAAATGCAAAGTAGAGACAGATGGATTCATTTGGGATTTATTCTATGTGCATATGTACTTTTGCATCAAACATACACATCCAGGACATCCCAGAGTTTTTCATAGACCTGCAGGTTACTTTGCTTTTTTTAGTAGGGGATTGCTTTCCTCTTTTAATTAGCAGTAGGAAAGCCCAGACTGGCTGGTCTTCTATGGTTACCTTTGCTCCCTTTCCTGTTACATGCAGGATTTGGGGATGGTAATTAATACCATGTGCACGCATTGTGAGGAATGGCTGTTTTTAATAAAAATTAACAACAAATTTCCTCCAATAATTATCCTCTGAAAAACAGCAATCCAATCCTGTTTTCCTATTCTTGATTTCCCCCCCCCCAACCTCCCCCTCCCCCTGGCAGAGATACAACTGTTTCCATTAAACTCTTTGATAGCATGGGTAGAGCACAATTTCATATTGTCGTTTCTATGGGAAGCAGAAATTGAAATGCAGAGCTAAAAGTGAGATCTTCAGTCAATGCAACAATCCTGCCTTTCCCATTTGATTGCTTCTACACTGAAGCCTATTATTATGGAACCATTTTATCTCGTAGGAAGAAGCAGCATATACCTTGCTTAGTGAAAAGCGTAGGCTAGGGCCTGTCTACAATGATCTCCAATAGAAGTAAATGTTCAGAAAAGTTCCTGTTTATAAAACAGTTCATCATTTAAATCAATAACTGATTCTGCAATGTGGTTTCATGCTGTTTTAGCAAGGGGCGTGCCATAATGTGCTCAGCTTTTTATCACCACTCCCTATTCCAGTTTTCCCCTCATGTTCAGACATTTCTTTTTCTTAGGACAACATCAAATCCTTCAAAAAAAAAAAAAAAAGGATCCCCCTCCCCAAGTCAGCTGTATACATTATTAATGAAGGAAATTGCATTATCTCACAAATCAGACAAAGGGGGTATAGAGGGATGTTTTATTTCAGTCCAAGTTCTGAAGCCTGGGGCACAGAATCTCTGCATTCTGCTCTTCAGCTGGTCTCTGGTGGGTTAGCTCAGATTTCAGCTGTATGATCACTTCAGCAGGCAGTGCATCTATGCCATTTGCTAAAGAGATGATGGCACTGGTCGGGTTTGTGTGTTTGGCCTTTGTTGCCCTACCCTGATTGCTTTCTCTTGTTGATGGTGACTCTGCTGACCCATACCAACTTATTTCTTTATTTAGGTGCTGTTGCTTCAATATATAGTGTTATGCCAGGGAATAGATAGCATTTACTGGTGATGTGGCTTCTGAGCTCTCATTGCCTTCTGTCTCCTCTTTGTCCTTCTTAACTGTGTACTGGCCAATAAAGGAGCCATCTTCATTGAACTGTCCTTCACCTCCTTCTCCATAGTCCACCAAGCTGTCATCACTTTCTTGTTGCTTTATTGTGCCATCTAAGGAGGTCTGACTGCCCTGCAGTGGCTTGTTGTCTTCATCACTGGCATTAAAAGGAAAAGGAGAGCCATCAAAAAGGAGAAAATATGGTTTAAAAGGAAAACATAACCTTCTAATTTGAAAGCAGTGTCTGAGTGATGATACACAAAAAGGCAACAATTGCGCATAAAGATCTAGGAAAATATGGTGACATCTTTGTAAATACAGATGCCTGGAAATATTTCGGGGCAAAACGTAACATTTCTCAAATAACCTGAATAAATTAGGAGAAGGAAGTCCTTCAGTGTTATGATAAGAAAAGTCATCCGGAAGAACCGAAAGCAAAAATTAGCAAGCCAAACAGGAGAATAATATATCACAGTCCTGAGCCTTCTAGTTTATATACATCCCATTTCATCAAAAGTTACCCTTTGTCCAAAGTGTAGTCACTGACAATTTAATTGAAAATCTTTCAGCAGATTTAAAAAGGACAGAAATCTTTTTTAGGTTCATTTTGGCCATTTCATATGAATGCAAATTTTTAAATGCAGGCGTGATTTAAGAAAAAGAAAAAAAAAGAAAATTAAGCACTGTCTTCAGTCAAACCTTGTTAATTGTACACCAGGACACCACCAGAAAAGCTCAGAATTGTAGGTGCTGAATTAGAAATATAGAAGAGAAGGGACAAGACAAAGCAATGTGAGTCTGTATTGTCTAGGATTGTTTAAAAACTGAATTATCAACTAAATTAGAAACTTGAAAAAAAATGGCAAAGATATACGATGACCATACAGGCACCAGGAAAATTCCATTAACATATAGCAAGCAAGCTCAACTTCAGGGAATGCTTACCTTTAATAGACTTATACTAACTTTTCTCTTTGCCACCTCGAGAAAGCTTCTGCAAAATTTGTAAGATGGGTTAACTATTTTGAGTCTTTTTTAAAAAGATGAAAGAGACTCGCAGGACTAAGTCTTGTTGAGAGTTATGAGTCTTGAGGATAATTAAATTTGGATTTGATTGCCAAAATGCACTTTAAAGTGCACAGAAGTGTGGACACAGGACTTCTCTGCAACACTTTAAAGCAGCTACATTTTTCTCAGGGTAGTATAGCTGTCCTCTCTAAGCACTGCACAATCTCAGGAAAAAATAGGGTTACTTTCAGAGTTTCAGACCAATGCCATATCCATGCAATTTCTCTCTTCCAGAGGCATGACCAACACCCCTGCACTCTGTAACACTTTTTGTCTTTAAGTCTGAAGTCCCGAAAGGCATTACTAGATATTCATGTGAGATGCATTCTTTTAATTGTTTGCAAGTTGTGCAAATATTAATGAATATATTAATGTCACAAGTGACTTTTGATTTCCAGTATTGCCATTTCATTGCTTTTCCTAATCATATTATGTCCAACAGACCAGTTCTATAATATTAAAAGTTGCATCTTGCAAGCTCTGATGTGGTCTGAATTGCCAGCAGATAATCATTCTAGGTTACTTGCAGTCCCAGGTACCATGTTCTTTATTACAATGAGAAGAGGAGTTTATTTTCTTTCTGGAAGGAGCCAATGTTGAAAAGTGTGTACATGCTGCTTTTGAATACCTTAGAAAACTGTAAATCTCATGTTTTGCAAACAGGGATTAACATGCTTGTAATGGCACAAGTTAATTTCATTATCAGGGTTTGGCCAATTGAACCTGAGGCAAGAAGAGTTTTGAGGCAGAATGGGTTAGCATTATAAGAAGGCATAAAGGCAAGAACAGCAAAAGCCACAGATGCTAGAGACATTTGTTTTCAAGTTAAAACAAGTATTTAAATACAATGTAATTGCAATGAAAATTTGCCCCTTCCATATCTAATGGCAGTAAAGTTTTCCTATTTTGATCCTGCAAAGGCTGGATTCCAGAGAGTGAATGCTGTATGAAGCGTTTTTTATTTTTGTCTTCTTCCATAAAGTCATCCTGTTCTTGTTCTAGAGGACTGCTATTGAAAAGCAGATGTAAGAAATGGTCTTTGACATGCCTCAAATATTCTGATGTTCTCCACATGGCTCTCTGGATTGCAAGCCAAGCAAGTAACCATACTGCCCTGTTAATACGTTAGGAAAATAAGTGAATCCAGCCTTTAACACACCAATACAATGTGATTATTAGATAAATCTTGCAGCTTATTTAATATATTAAATACAGTCAACCAAGCCACAAGTGAAATTGTTTAGGAGCATCATGTTCAAGAGTTGCATTAACATTGAAAGGAATAATTTGTGAGCGAAAGATCTTCAATCTGAACTTCTGAAACTATTGGCTTCTTCTTGACCATGCTTCTTTTGTTTTAGCATCCAATAAAGTGAAGTCAGTTATAATTGCTTTTAAAATATGAGGGCCATATCATACCAGTAGCTTACCAGATAATATGGAACTACTCAAAGCTTCTAATCCAGTAGACCCTTTTCATGACAGTAATCACTACTCAAGTGTGCACATTCACACTGCACGTATAAATATTAGTCAAGAAAAAGGAATGAAGTTAGGGTCACTGCAATGTCATTGGATGTGCTATTGAGTCTGAATCTACAGTCAGAATGCAACTCCATGGACACAGGACACCTGAATCTCAGCGTAAGAAAGAAATTACTTTTTAATTCTGTTAGATGAAAAGTGCTGGAACAGAAACATGGAAGAGAGTTAGAAATTAGATATGCTTAGAAATGCTGAAAGAAAGTGTGTGCAAGGGTTTGGGTCATTCCTACCTTTCAAGAGACCTTCATGGTCCATGTAGAAGGACAAGGTGAAAAGGACAAGAACAGATGAAAATAAAATAAGGAGAGAAGCAAAAAGAGCCTGATCAGAGAGCAAAATAATATAGGCTTGAAGTTTAGGGATCAACGCTAAATAAATAATACAGTAGTAATAGTAATAGTTATTACTTTCTGGAAAGGCTAAGCATCTTAAAGTACCAAATGAAAGCCAATTTAAAACACAAACTGCTAATTGTGTGCAATAACATAAAAAAGCAACTAGTTGTTGATAAATGTCAATGATATTCCCCCTCCCTTCCCAGGTGGGCACCCTCCAAGCTGAGCCATGGTGGCAAGCTCTCATTGCCACTCCAGACATGCTCTCAATCTAGTGATTTTAGTCCAACTAAACTGAAGGCTTTAATCAGTCACACTCTCTCAGAGATATAAAACAAAGCATGGTCTTGCAAAAAATAAAAAAGCGTCTCCAGGAAAGGTCTCCACCTTAAATGAAAATTCTCCAAAGAGGAAGGAGGAGGAAAAATAATTATGTTTTGGGGTTTCCTACATGGAGAAAGTTTTAAATGAGCAGATTGGGAGGGAAGTAGATATCATAGATCTAGAGGGGAAAGCCCACCTCTTTTATATATTCACACGGAAATTTCTTCATACAGAAATAAAGTCGGAAACAGGAAAAAGCACATTAGTTGTTTCTTAGAACATGTTCATTGAGTTCTAGACAGACTCTCCATCCTCCCTTAAAGAAAATAGGGTTGATTCGCATTATGAGGAGGAAGAGTCTTGAAAATTAAGCAGCAGATCTTATCAGAATGTTCTGTCTTCAGAAAATCTGTAGGTGCCAGAAAGTAGTCACAAAAATCACTTGAGTGCAGAAGTGCTATCTGAGATTATATGAAATCACTTGCCAACATTCAAGGAACAAAAGAGATTTTGGTGAAAATAAGTCTTCTGGCTTTTAATAAGCATTGCTAATGTACTCGTTTCACTATCATCAGCCTTGTAGAAAGCAATCCTCCTATTTTCTGTTTCTTGAAATTGGCACTGCAACTGAAAATACCAGGATTAAGCTGATTTTGAGCCTGGCAGAGATAGACTGTATTAAAACATGAAGAGGGAAGGAGGAAGGAAGATCGAACAAATACAATCGTTATACAGTTTTAGTTTTCTGTTTCCTTTTCTCTCTCTCTCTCTTGCTCTTTCAAGTCAGATATATAGTAGAACAAGTGCTATTAATGGCTAGAGACTTTATAACTTATTCCTCTTGTAAGGAGACTATAAGTCTGGCAGCAGAGTAGAAAGAAATGACAATATATCTCTTAATTATAGCCTGTGGCCATTGGCATGCTCTATGCATACGCTTTTACAGCTCTGAAAGACATGATCAGAGTGTGTCAGACATATTTCAGTTAATTAGGAAGAGGACAAATAAAGAAAGCATGCCAGCTTATATCCTGTTCACTTTCAAAAGCTATCTGTCACATCTCAATGACTATGAATCTTAATTAGCCACATTTCTCTGTCAGCTAATAATTTTCTCTTTTATTCTGACTTCTTATGTGATTTGTCAGTTTAAGACAAATTCCTTGTGTGTCCAATCACACTTGGCCAATACAGAATTCTATTCTATTCTATTCTATTCTATTCTATTCTATTCTATTCTAT